TTTGTGTATTGATACATTTCTTTAGTTTCTGAATATAAATTAAGAACTATAAGATGAGAGTCTTAACGATGTTCCACACAGTGGGTTCAGATTTTCCCAATGGAGCATATCCCGAGTATGATAGTTTGTCGTCAGAAAACTAGTTGGTGATGAAAACATACCTGGTGCTGCCACACCTGCGTACAGGCAGTCAGTAGGTAGCTGGGTCTGGGGGCTGCAGATGCAACTGCCCCCCACAGTCCCGTGCCTTCCTTGAGGGTGCTCGAAGCATCTCACCTGAGCAGAGGTAAGCCCCTTCATTGCACCCGTGCAGAGCTGTTCCACCAGGGGGCTATTGGTGGCTTGGAGCTCTCTTGGGGATCTCAAATCTCTAGCAGTGTGTGACATTTCTTGGGTTTCCCTGGGAGTTTTGTTTTGTTTTCAAAGTGGTTGTGCATCGAGCCATGCTCTCATAGACTTTTCTTCCATCACCTGGAGGTCTGGGATATCAGCAAAGTCCCCAGAGCAGAATAGATCCCTGATATTTGAATCATGATATACACACACTCTGGTTGCACCTGTGGATTTCTGTGGCACCCTCTGCTTCACGTGTGTGTGTGTGTGTGTGCACGCGCGAGCATGCACGCTCTGCAGTATTATCTACTTTCAAAACACTATGTATACGTGGATAGGCATTTATATAAATGGTAATAAAGAGGGAAAAACTATTTTGTTTTCTTATGGTGAAATTGAGTCACTCTACCAAACAAAAACAAATATTTCCATTGATAAATTTTTTCAGCTTTCTTGGTAAAATTGACTAATAAAAGTTGTATATATTTAAGGTTTCCATCTTGGTGTTGGGATATACATATACATTGTGACATGATCACAATCAAGCTAATTAACATATTCATCACTTCATGTAGTTACCATTTTCTTTTTTTGTTTGTGGTGAGAACACTTAAGATCTACTGTCTTAGCAAATTTCAAGCATACAATACAGTATTGTTAACCATAGTCACCACACTGCACATTAGATCTCCAGAACTTATTCATCTTGTGTAACTGAAATTTTTTACCCTTTGACCAACATCTCCTCATTTTCCCCTCCCCACAACCCCTGGCAACCACCATTCTACTCTCTGCTTCTATGAGTTTGACTATTGTAGATTCCGTGTGAGATCACGCAGTATTTGTCTTTCTGTATCTAGCTTATTTCACTTAGCATAATGGTCCATCCATGTTGTCACAAACGATAGGATTAACTTCTTTTTAAAGGCTGAATAATATTCCATTGGATGTATAGACCACATTTTCTTTATTCTTCCATTTATGGACATTTAGATTGTTGCTATATCTTGGCTGTTGTGACAAAAGATAAGTGTTAGCTAGGATGTGGAGAAAAAGGAACCCTTGTGCACTGTTGGTGAGAGTGTAAGTTGGTGCAGCAAATATGGAAAACAGTATGGAAGTTCCTCAAAAAATTAAAAATGGAACTACCATGCGAACCAGCAAGGCCACTTCTGGGTATATAGCCAAAGGAAATGAAGTCAGAATCTCAAAGAGGTTTCTGCACCCCTGTGTTCATTGCAGCATGATTCACAATTGCCAAGATTTGGAAACCACTCTCTGATTTTTAACCACCACGCTTCTCACCCACTCTCTTCTGTGGATTTGCAGCCAGGTGTGCCCCTTACGTTCACCTGGTGAGCCCTGGACATTGTCTTTTGCCTTAAAGATGATGTACGTATTAACTCCTGGAGGGAAAAACATTTGTTCAGTGTCACAGTCCTTCTTAATTCTATGGTTCAGATTTGTCGTTGTGAGTTTCTCAATCCAGCCTGCCTATTGCCTCTTCTGGCAATAACACAGACAAGTTGGCATCAATTATCATGCTGCGGAGATCAAGTGGTACTGATGAATTGTTCAAATTCACAGACAAAGCTGGATTATATCTGCACTCCGCCACTTACTAGATGAGTGACCTTCACTACGTAACTCCTCTCAGCCTCAGATGTTGCATGTATTAAATGGAGAGTGATGGTAGCACCCTCATAAGGTAGATATAAGGATGTAATGAGAGGAAATGCAAAGCATGGTCCATCAGATTTTGCATCTATAAAATGGAGAGAGATAGTAGCACCCTCGTGGAGTAAATGTAAAGATTTAATGAGATGAAATGCATATCATAGTCCATGTTACATAGTAGGTGATCAGTTCAATTTAGCCATGAGAAACGATCCTTATACAACCCTGTGATGTAGTTCACATTGTTATCTCTACTTTGACCTAGAGAACGCAGAGCAGTTAGTCAAGTGGGGAAACACATGTATTTGTAGCTCTCTCTGTATCGTCTATATCTCTATCTGTATATGTAGTAAAATTTTTCTTTTGAAATCAGTTTAGATTGACAGAAGAATTACAAGGATAGTAAAGAGAATTCCTGTATTCCCTTCCTCCATCTTCCTCAAATGTTAACTTTCTGCATGACCATGGTGGATTTGTCCAGAAATTAACCTTGGTACATCACTATTAACTGAACTTTAGATTTTCCACTAATGTCTTTTTTCTGTCTCAGGATCCAATTCCCAATGCCACATTGCATCTAGAAGATAAACTTTTACAGGATGCCTTTTCATTCTTTTAGTATTTTGGTCTAATTTCCCATTTATTTATTTTATTCTATTTTAACCAGTAGGGCAATAAGTATATACACTAGCTGTTAATTAAGCTAGCTCCTTTATGTTGTGTTGCAACCACTTATTTCGTTCTTGTTAAATTTAGAGTGAAAATACTGTGAGCTTGATCTAGTAGAAGGATAAGCAGGTAGGAGGGCTGCTTGATCTAGTAGAAGGATGATCAGGTGAATGTTCTATGAGCTTGATCCAGTAGAATTATAAGCAGGTAGAGACGCTGCTTGATCCAGTAGAAGGATAAGCAGGTAGAAATGCTGCTTGATCTAGTAGAAGGATAAGCTGGTGAACATTCTATAAGCTTGATCCAGTAGAAGGATAAGCAGGTGAACTATGAGCTTGATGTAGTAGAAGGATAAGGAGGCAGTAATTCACATGTTGAGATTCTTTCTACAGTTTGCTCTGCTACTGCCAACTTGCATAAACTATGGCAAATTATGTAAACTTCCCATTTCTTGGATGTGATGTCTGTGAAGCAAGCATAATTGTATTTGTCAGATAATTACCTTAAGGTAATGTTGAGAAGGTGAGGTAAGTGGAAGACTTTTAGCTTTCCTAGGAGGCCACCATAGAAACTACAAACGATCATATGAATTTTTATATGAATTGTCCCTCAATGTCGGTGCATATAAACTTATGAGTGCCTGCAGTTTAAAGATCTTGCCTATAAGGGGAATTCAGTCTACAACCATCAGCTACAATTCAGTCTACAATCGCCAGAATTCAGTCTACAATAGTCAGAAACTAGCATTAAGAAATGACAGCTTGCTTCAAGATCCCTTAAACGTCTGTCTGCAGAATTCATTTTTTAATTCTGTCATTTAAATGACATTTATGTCCATTGTGAACTACGCATTATATCTCTGCTATGAATCAAGGTTCTCTTTCCACTTGCTTCATTTATTTGAATGCTTTGTTTTTAATTCTTCATACAATTGTTGGTTGAAAATGTATTTGTGAGTAGCTGAACTTAAACTCTGTCATTCCTCCCAGCCTAACTTCCTGAGGTTATTACTCCTGTGGTGCTCAACTCTATGCTCATCTTATTATAAAATCAAGGGGAGCTGCTTTGGGGGAAACAGTGCATCTGTTTTTCCGTCCATCCGTGTGCTACCTGCATGGCCTCAGAGACTCCAGCCTGGTCTCTCTGAGCCCTAGGCTGACATGTCACTGTCTTGGTCCCCCAAGGTCCATTAGTTACAGGCCTTGGTGAGCATCTTCTGTGATGTGCCTGTTGACATTGTGACCCACTCCCAGCTCACCCCTCCAGCCCCTCCCAATACCCCTTTCTTGCTCTATTGAGTTGTATTCTAATCACCTCCTATGTACAAAGCTCTTTTCCTCAACTAAACAGTAAGAGCTATCCCGATAATAAGATAGTAGCAATGATGACAATGGCCATTTTTGGTGCTCTTCCTCTCTTCTAGGCATTAGACTTGGCACTTGGGATCATAATCCTATGTAATACTCACACCTAATGTGCTGGGAATGTGAGGCACAGAATGGTTGATCCATTTACTTAAGGGCACAGAACTAGTGTTTTCATTTCCTATGGCTGCTGTAACAAATCACCACAAATTTGGTGGCTCAAAACAACAAAAATTGATTATCTTATAGTTCTGGAGTTCAGATGTCCAAAATGGGTCCATTTGGGCTAACATCAAAGTGTCAGTAGAGCTATGTTCCTTTCTGGAGACTCTAGGGGAGAATCTGTTTCTCGGCCTTTTCCAGTGTCTAGAGGCCACCTGCGTTCCTTGGCTTGGGACACCTTTCTCCATCTTCAAAGCCATCAGCATAGCCTCTTCCAGTCTTTCTCTCTGACTATAATCTCTGCTTCTCTGATTCCCATTCTCCTGCCTCCTTCTTTCCCTTTTAAGGATCTGTGTGATTACATTGGACCCACTCAGATAATCCAATATCATCTCCCCTTGTGCCATATAAGGTACCGTATTCCCAGATTTCGGGGGTTTGGACATGGACATTTTGGGGCACCATTATTTTGCCTACCAGAGCTGCTAAAAAGTAGCAATGGAATTTGAACTCCCCGACTCCAAAGTCATTGATTTGAGTCAGATGTTGCTCTGAGATTTGAGTCTCCCTGATTATAAAGTCATCACTTATGACCACCAGGCAATGCTGGCCATGTGTCATGCATAGTAGTGACTATGTCATATGTATTTTTCACCACAACATAGACACTATTACTCATGAAATTCTCATTGAATCCATGTAATTAGATCACTTGTTTCTTCCAAATTGGCCACCCCACACTGAGCGCTGAAAAGACTTACAAATCTCCCTGCGGCCTCTCCTTTGGCATTTTAGGGGGCAAAGCAAACAACTGGGAAGGAGGTATCCGGGTTCCAGGCGTTCTTCGATGGCCAGGAGTGATACAGGCTGGGCTGGAGATTGATGAGCCAACAAGCAACATGGACATATTTCCTACGGTGGCCAAACTCGCGGGGTCACCACTGCCTGAAGACAGGTACTGTGACTCAGAGGTGCTTAGTATGGTCTCATTCTGATTTTGCAGGCAAGTGTGTTCTGGTTTGCCTGCATGATGGCATGCTACCTCCGGCTGGACTTATTATCACTGTCCAGTTATGGGCCTTACTGGTGGATCTGCTGAAGTAAAAACCCCTCTGTCAATCCCGTTATCACCGTGGGAAATAAACTGCCAGGCATGATGTGGATGGATGGCCTTGAACCAAGACTTCCTCTTTTGACACCTGCTGATCCTCTTTCCCATCTGTGCCCATTATCGGCTTACCGAAGGGCAGCTAGGCAAATGCCCCTCTAACCCCCCACATTTTAATCCCATACCTTTCCTTTTGCCCCACTCAGCAACTCTTTTCTGCAGCAGCAAGAAAGGCAGCTGGTTTCCCAGTTAAGGGCGCTATATCCCAGCATGTCTTCTGAATACAAGTCCTAAATGAAATGTCTTTCTCTTAAACTTAAATACAACTTCATATGACATTGCCAATGGTTTCTTCTTAAGTGTTATTACCAATATGAAGAGTTTTAAGTGAAGCACGTTGATTAATAGTTTTCATTAGTTTGGTGGCAGGCCAGGCTAACGTCACACAGGCAGGCTGCAAATCTTGTGTAAATTCAGCTGCCAGCAGAACGAAGAGGAAACAGGAAACCAGAGACTAAAACAACAGCTTGGCTAGAGCTGAGTACACAGATAGGTGCTCACCTCCATTGTTTCCAAGCTTGTTTTACTGTTTATGTTTTTCCTTCTTGTTTTCAAATTTCTGCTTTAGGTATACCTTCCCCCCAGACACACACACATGTACACACAAATGCAAAAGGCAGCAGTGTAGAGTTCAGCCATTCTCAAACTTTGTGGTCTCAAGACCCAGGTACACTCTTCAATGACTGAGGAACCCAAAGATCTTTTGTTTATGGGGGTTATATCAATTAACGTTTCTCATATTAGCAATTACACTTGAAAAACATTTAAAACACAAAAGCACCCAAGCACACATTCCATAGGCTGACAGAGCGATGATGTTATCACTTGCCATGTAGCCACTGGGAAAGTCCACTGTATGCTCCTGAAAAAGTCATAGTCCAAAACGCAAAGAATGGTTCCTATTATTGTGAAAATACTTTTGACCTCGTAGACCTCTTGAAAAAGTCTCAGGGATCCCTGTGGGTCTCTGGACCACACTTTGAGAGTAGCTGGTCCCATGGATAAGAGCAGAGATCGAGAGCTGTACTGCTTGGGCTCAGGTCTTGGCTGGTTAAGCTTTTAACTTACTGGGCCTTGGTTCCTTGTCCAAAAAGTCGATTCAATAAAGCACTGACCTTATGGGGTCGATATGAGGATTAAAAGCATTGGTGCATGTGAAGTGCGGTGTAAAGAATGCATGAATATTTGCCATTTTTGTTTCACCCGCCATATTGAGAGGTCAGATGTACACAAGTACAGTTTTTTCCTCTTCCACATTTAACATTCATCCAGGATCCTAGAATCATAAAATTTGGTGGCTGAAGGGGACTTTTAAGATCTGCTTTAGTCAAATTATTCTTTTTCTGCCTTAGTGACAGACAGAAAACTTGGCAGCAGTAACTCATAAAAGATCTTTTCTTATGTAAAGGCAAAGCTCTCACTCCTTATCTTATCTACTCGTTCGCCTTGGTTCCTACCCTTGGAACAAAGATGAACATTTCCTTAAGTAGCTCATACAGAATGTTCAGGTAATTTCGTTAATTACATTTTTTTCTCATGACTCATAACATTAAAATCATCACTACTCTTCATTTTCACAATATCTTTAAATGGGTTTCCATCCAATTCGAGAAAGATGAGGGAAGGAAGAAGTTCAGAGGCAACGAAGAAAATCCATAAAGGGAAATCTTGCTCCTGGACCTCCTACCCACCCCAGTCTGAGGCTGATGGAGGTCACTCTGTTTTGTTTTTTGTTTTGGTGAGGAAGACTAGCCCTGAGCTAACATCTGATGCCAATCTTCCTCTTTCTGCTGAGGAAGATTGGCCCTGGGCTAACATCCATGCCCATGTTCCTCTACTTTATGTGGGATGCCGCCACAATATGACTTCACAAGTGGCGTGTGGGTGTGCGCCCAGGATCCGAACCTTTGAACCCCAGGCTGCCGAAGCAGAGCACGCACACTTAACCACTGCGCCACCAGGCCGGCCCCAGAGGCCACTCTGTTTTTCTTGTACAAGCCCATTGAAGAAAGAAGGAGCCTTCCTCTTAGGCAGACCCCAATATTTTGTGTGTGAGCCAGTGTCTTCAGTAGAACCCATTCTCAATATTAAAGGGACACTTGTTGGGACTTTGTGACACTTGTTGACCTAAGTTAGCCCAATGATATTGTCTCCAGGTTCAGGTCCAAGGCCCAATAAATACCATCAGCATCCTAAAGACAGCACAGATAAGAAAACAGAAATCTGCTTCCAAGCCCCTTGTGGGAGTAAAGTTATCACACAGTATCTTACTTAAATCATGTTACCAACCAAGTCCAGAAACCATCTTTATGTATCTGCCCTGGAGACTTTGAACATCTAAAGCAATGATTCTCACCCAGAGTGACTATTCCCCCCAGGGGCCATTTATCAAAGTCTGGAGACATTTTTGATTGTCCTGACTCAGGATGCTACTGGCATCTAGTGAGTGGAGGCCAGGGAGGCTGCTAAACAGCCTACAAGGCACAAGACCACAGTCTACAACCAAGAGTGATCCAGCCCAATGTGTCAGTAGTGCTGAGGTTGAGAATTCCGACTTGAAAGCTTGTTATTGCTCGTTTATGGAAAATGTTGTTATAATGTAAAGCCTCATCAACACTTTTCAATAAAAGCATCTGGATAATATCCTCATATCTATATTTATCTACAAATTTGATACACAGATATCTACACTTTAGAAAACATCCTTAGCTCTTTCCCACTAAATTGGTGGAAATCAGCTTTCCCTATTTCTTGCTTGAGCAGTGTTGCATTGACATGTTTCAGGAGAGTAAACTCAGAGGGTTGGATCCAAGCTGTTTGAGGAGCACTTAACGAGGTGCCCTCACTTCTTTCTGCATGTTTTGTCGGAACAAGAGGATTTCCGTTCAGAAGACACCTGGCCTTCAGGTGCAACCTTGTAATTCTCAAGAAGCGTCTTGTGCCTGGTGGATGCCATTTCTGACCAATCAAAGCTTGGTAGGAGGTGAGAAGCCCTTTGATGCAGAGTTTCTACTTAAGTAAAAAGAGCAGTGGTCCAGGGGTACACATAAGAGATTTTCCCTTTGCAGAGTCTCAACACTTCTGTGAGAATAGTTCTCTGATTCGACCCCATGGTGTGCCTATATGAGATTCCTCTCTGTGGTGCATTTTTCCTCCATATATACTTCAGCGATTCATTTGCATTTTGTGGCACAGTTTATCAAAAGAATTTTCGGTGGCCATCACCCCAGGCATATTTAGAAAAATCATTCCCCCTGTGCACCAAATAAGCTGATTCTGGAAATAAATGGGGAGCAACCTTTTTTTTGTGATAGAAAACATAGGCAACAGGGCCTTACATAAAAGAAAAGTATAATAGCTAAATATATTAACTCATTAAAATGAAATACCTTCCTGTCAGTCTCATCTTTGCTTGCAGATAGAATATTTCTGTAGTAACTCTATGACCATGCTCCTTCTTATTGTTGGTAATAAAGGATTGCAAAATGCCATAGTTGGTTAAACTTTTGGAAAACATCTCAATTCTGGCTATAGACTATGCAGCTGGGAGGAAAGGAAAGGGATGCTGACATCCTGAAGAATCAATCACCTCGAAAATCAATCAGTTTTAGAGGTGAAATAGTTGTGTCCTATTCCATAATTAAAATAAAATTAAATTTGATTCCATTTTTTTTTCAAGTTAGGAAAAGAAATCAACATTTTAATGCTCGATATTGCTTTTGTCTAATGAAGATAACAGAAGGGACTTGGTTCTCCCAGTAAATTTTGCTGACGTGTAGCTAGGCAACTACGGAAGACTTCTTCAATAGATCACTACAAATAAAACAGTCAGTGAGCTGTACGTAGTTCACCTCCGTTTTGCAGAATAAAAGGTGGAACTCTTCATGTACCTACAACCACTTATAATAGTTTTTGCTTTATATTCAAATATAGCAGAGTGTTTAATGTTTACGAAAGGAAACATTTTTTTTTAACCTAAAAATGACTTTCGGGATACTTGGGATTCCCTTTAGTTTATTAAAGATCTACCTACTTCCTCCTAAAAATGTTTCCGTTCCTATTACTTTCTACATTGAAAAAAATCACTTTATTTTGAATAACGCATAGGTAAGTCACAAACATTGTGCCCCAAATTAACCACTTTGTCAGTCGCCAAAACCTTCCCTTCTGTGTCCCCCACACAAAAACTTTCCCTACTCCTGTGATCCCTAAATCCATCCCAGAGTTGGCCAGGCAAAGCAGATGGGAAGGACGTGCCAAGTAGAGGGTTCAGAGCTGAGAGAGAGACAGCACATTCATGGAGGAATGTGGTCACCATAGCCCAAAGAAAGTCCCCAAAACACGCTCTTTTCGGTTATGTGAAAGTTGTCCCCAGGCCATCGAATTCAACCTGAAATTCAAAAACGAAGCTGCTTGGAAACGAATTGTGGGTTTTGCTACCCTTGTCACGAGTCAAGAACGCAAAGAGAATATTCTCACTTTCCAAATTAAAAACCATCTCAAATGAAGACGTGTTTCAGAATCAAGCAGACACTACAAAAGAACTCATCTAATTTTCTAACAGTGGCTATCTGTGTAAACTTGCTATGAAAACTTGAATTGGTTTGCAGAAAAGCCCAATTAGATGATTCCCATAGAAAACAGTGATGCTTTGTGTCAACTGAAAGTGCATGGGCCCCTCTCCCACAAATCGTGACGTAATGGAAACATCCCTTACTAGCAATGTCAAGGAAATTGTGCCATCTCTGGCTTATTGCTGTGGTTAACTGTGACTTGCACATGTGGTTTAAAACAATCCCAAGTATTTTGATAGCTTAGACACCATTTAAAATTTTGGCTCAATAGAGTCACTTTCCATTTTTCATGGCAGAAATGATCCTCTTTTTGACAGCCCATATTTCTGCAGCACTGTGAAATGGTGGCTTTCCCTACCTGGGTGATTTATTGCTAGCTTCTAGGAAAGAGCATGTTAGGTATAGGATATAAAAAAAAAAAAGAGATCCATCTCTGCATTTGAAGAAAAAGAAGTTTGCAGAATAGACTTTGCTTCCCTCCTTTAAAAAGCAAACTTAACTGTTTTGCTTTTAAGTAAGAAAAAAAGTTGTGAGACGTGGAGTCTTATTTTTTTAATGGAATCCCCCTCCATGTTATCATGACCCAGTTGAGTTATGAAATACCAATCTGAAGAAACCACTTCAAGCTCCTGTGTTCTTAAATCAAGTGTTGAAGTCTTGTTGGCTTATGATGAAAAATGGCTTCGAGAAATAGAGGTAGAGATTTTGTCCAAAAAACAGAGATTCATTCTTGCTCTGGAGCAGCCATGGAAAGACCCCCTCTCCACTTGGAGGTGGAGGTGGTCCCATCTCTCCAGGTTATTTTTTACCACTGGCGGCTTTTCACGCTCAGATACTCAGACCTGCACACTTGTCCCCCCATCCCTTCCTTTTTTCCCACCCTACTCGGGATCTCATATTCTTAAGGACTGAGTCTTTCTCGAAAGGGATTTGAAAGGAACAAGGCACAAGACCTACCATTTCAGTGTAGAAATCGTGTTTCAGAGAACACACTGATTCTGAATAGAACCGTCTCTCTACCTTGCTTCTTTCTCTTCCTCTCGTGGAGAAGGGGAATGCAGGCTTGGGAAGGGAGCCAAGGCCATTGTTTGTTCTTATTTTTAACTTATGATAATAGAATATTTTCAGTCCTTAGACTTCTGCAGAGCACGTGATTAATAACAAGAGTTGAGGCCAGACAAGTGCTAAGCAACGAGGCTATAATTACATTACGGGGTTTTTAGTGACACCAAAATAAACCGCAAAAAAAATCCTCTTGAGAACACTTACCGAAATTATATAACCAAGTTAAACTTTCAGTTTCTAAATTCCTAATAACAGAGGATGACAGGGATGGAGTGTTTTTAATCAGAGAAAGAAAATCCTCAAGTTAAGTAATCTAACTCTTTCATAGTAGCTCTCTGCCCCTTGTTTCCATGGCAGTGGCCTAATGTATCAATGACTTCAATTCCTCTAGCGGCTGTTAGTGTATGTTTAAATCAAAACAAAATTTGGGGCTTTTTTCTGTTATTTAAACTCCAAATCATCTTCTTTTGCTCATCACCAATTGTAAATAGCTATTGTTTGCCATCTGGAAAGTTCCCCTTCTTGCCCTAGTTTCATACCCAGTAGTAGAAGAGATATATTTGCATTTTGGAACAATCTATTTCCAGATATTTAATACCATCATCATGATTATTTACAAATTAATTCATTCTGACTTAGAAATTCACTTTCATTGGAGTCTATCCAATCCAAGTTGCCCTATGCTATATATTAACTTTTTTTTTAACCCAAATTGTCAGGCATTCTTATTTTCAATAGAGCTATAGTTCATAATTAAAGCTTCCCCTTTGCCAAGGCAGTAGGCAGAAGATTGGGCTTAGGAAAAGCAGTGGGGAGAGCAGTTGAGAGCATGGATGTCCAAGCAGCTGGGTTTCAATCCCGCCAGCTCTTACTAGTCACATGACCTTTGATAAGTCACTTATGCTTTCTGGCCTCCGTTTCCTCATTTCATCATCATAGGAAGATAATGGTCCCAACCCATGGTGCTGCTTGGAGGATTAAATGAGTTCATACGTGAGCAGAGCTGGCCTCGCTGTGTTGCATATGGCACCCAACAGGGGACACTTAGTGTTCCTTGTGTTGGTTACTTAATCACAACTGTGTAGCTCTATCATGCTCTCGTTTGCTGGAAGGACAACTCAGAATTCGGGCCATTTTAACCCGAGGATGATGTGGCCATTCACCAGCTGATGCCCACCTGATTTATCCCACAGGATCATTGATGGACGTGACCTGATGCCCCTGCTTCAGGGGAAAAGCCAACGCTCGGATCATGAGTTTCTCTTCCATTACTGCAACTTCTACCTAAATGCTGTGCGCTGGCACCCGCGGAACAGTGAGTAAACAGACTTTTCCATGCTTCTAGTACTTTGTGCCATCAGTGCCGTGTGAGTAGATGAAAGTGCAAGAGGGCTTTGCTCTACAGAGGCCGTGAGATGCTAAGAGTGCCACTGTGCTTGGCTTTGAACTCTTCTTCCTCCTCTTGTCTTCTTTTATTCCTTCTCATCCCATAGTTGTCCAGGTAGGGCGTCATCGGACCCCGGCATGTGCCAATGATGGCTCCTCCTTCCCAGCAGAGGAAGCTCAGGTTCTCAGCAAGGCACTGCGCCACCTTTCTTCATGCCCGACCAGCTGCCTAGCTTCATCTCCTGGCGCATCTTGTTTCACCCTGAGTTTCAGCCCAGCAGTCTCTCTGCTCTGTGCATGGCTGACTTGTGCTTGTAGCGTCCTCTGCCTGGCAGGACCGTTCTTCTTTTCTTTCCTGGATGATGCTTGTCAATCCCCACAAAACCCCACTGAAATGCCGCCCCCTTTGCCTGCTCTCAAAGCACTTCCCACAGTCCTGTGACTTGGCGCTATGGCACTGAAGGGCGTTGAGATGTTTACCCTGCTTTCTCTCTCCAGCCTCAAAGATGGCGGGTGGTGACTCATCAGTCTGTATTTTGTCACAGATCATGTACGTGTGCTAGATTTAGATCTTTAAAACAAAGTTCAAATACTTTGATGTTATCATATTTCCCAAACCAGGTCGTCTTTAAATTGTGCACTCTAATCAGTAACAGGATCTAATTTGGGTTTTCCATACCAGTTTTAGAGTTGTATTTCTAACAAGCATAAGGGAAGAAATGGAACCAAATGATAAGCCTAAGTGTAGTGATAGGTTTCAGATATTCTTTTTCATATATTTAAACTTAGAATTACAATAATGTTCATATCACTAAGATGCCGAGGGATCTATGGAAATCCAGCCGCTATTTATAAGTATTGTACGTGCCAGAGGTGGATGTTGAGGTCAGACTGTCAGTCCACTCTTCAGAGGTGAAGTAAGACTCCCCTTTTCTCTATTGTGCTTTGGGGTTGTGTTCCTGGAGGCTACTCTCTCCCAGGACAGCTAGTAACCTCCCAGCTGATGGCTCATTCTTAAACTCAGGGTGAGTCTGGTACCAGTTTTCAACGCATCTCTCTCCCCACTCTACTCACTCAGCCAATTTACCAAAGACATCATTTAAAGGGCATCCTCCCCATTATTTTTAAAGAGGAAATTTACAACCTTCCATTAGCCACAGAAATCACACCAGGTTTACCCTTCAAAGTTTCTGCTTTAAATCTGGGCAGCTTCCTTGCGCTATTTTCTAGAAGACGAATATGACACAAACACGAGCTTAGGATTCTAGATGTGGAAGGATTCTGTTTACCTATCTCATCAGTGTGTCCATAATGCCAAATCCCATAGGAATACTGTTTCTTTTTTAGATTAATTGACGGTGTTTAGGTCTGAGCCATCTAATACATGAGAGCTGTACTCCTCCCCACTTCTTTTCATATGGAGCCTGCGAGAAGTGTAAAGGACAATGTTCTATGCCTCTTGGGCATTTAAAAAAGTAAGATAGCATACCCTGTCCTGAACCTGGCAAAATCTCATTTAAATAAAACCAAGCCCCCATTTAGAGAAGCTGGAAGGAACATATTGGATCAGGGGCTGGAGAAACACATTATATGGAGGAGTAAAGAGAAAAAGGAGAGGAAGAGACAAAATAGGAGTAAGTGAGAAAAACAAGACCCAGTTTCTGATAGGCAGCTGGCCCTGGGATAAAATTTGCTTCTTAGGCAGACACAGTGACATTTCCTCTTATACAATTCCTTAAAATCTTTTGCCTTGAACCAGCAACAAAAGAGGAGAAATCGCAGTATTTCAATGCTGCAACCATTCCTCTAGGTAAAGGGTCTCAATAAACCATGGATTTTATGAATCATCTCATTTATTTTTCAGGTTGTATCTGAAACTCAGTAACGATGGTTGCCGATGGTTGGCTATCAATGGTTGCCATCTTGGCTATCACACATGGCTTCGTGGTTATTTATTCAGTATCTCATCTATTCCTTTATTCTACAAATATGTGTTGAGCACCTACTATTTGGTACCTGCTGTGCTACGGTCATCTAGTGAGCAAAACAGACCAAATTCCCTGCCCGGGGGTTGTTTACATCTTAGACCATTGTGTGCGTGATCTGTGCGATGTGCTGGGGATGTAGAGATGGAAAGTGTGACTCTCATCCGTATGGAGTTACCTGTCAACTGGGGAAAACAGACATGAAACTAGTACTGGTTGGAGGAGTCTGCTTAGGTCACTCAGGTCTACCTTGGTAGAAGATTGTCAGTAATCACCGGACTACATCGTGGGACACTTTCCATAATTGTTAGGGATGAGAGCGTTGCCACCTGACCTCAAAATACTTTGTTAGAAAAGAAAAGAGAAATTTAGTAACAAGCAGCCGCATGCTGGAGCCAGTTCCCAATTGGTCAGGAGTCTTGCCAGCTTGTTGTTAAGCCGTTGCTAACTCCCAGCCATGCTGGGAGTATTTATACAACGCAATTGGCAGGTTTCATTCCTCCCTCAGAGAGGGCTAGCTTAGCAGGACTTCACTGTGCCAGAAAACTAGAATTGACGGGAAATGTTTTAAGGTCTGATTACCGTTTGTCCTGATTAGTTGGAGGCCTAAATATTACAATTCAAGCCTTATTTTCCAAAAACTTAGAGCTAGAATTCTGTTCCCACTCTTTTCAAACATGAATCCCTTTTAACTTTTACATATGTCTTCTCTAAAATTTAATAATTCTATAACTATAATGTAATAATTCTATAATTTAGTTGTCTCGGCAAGTTGAATGGCATGATTTGATTATGATCTGATATCATTATTCCCATTACATTTTAAAAGAACTCACAAAAGCATTATTATAACATGGATGACTTTTTTTGCATTAAAATGGAAATTTTGAGTTAAAATTTCCTGTACAATATCTGTTAAGAGTTTTGGCCTTAATTTTTGACGTATGAATCAATGTTATTAAAAATTCAATGAAATGATAACTTGATTTTATGGGTAAACTTTATCTTAGAAGGTGTAGATACTTGGCTCCAGGCTTTTGTTTCAGATTTTCGAGCTGATGAATATAATCTGTAAAATAAATGCTCACATTAATGTGAGAAGCCCCAAAACAGCTGGTCATACAGAAATCCATGGGATGGCTGTGGGCATATTCTGGAAACAATGGAATATAGTACATAATTAATAGTTCAAAGTATTTTCTGCCAACACATATGGAATCTTGACATCATCTAGAAAAAAATGTCACTTTTATTTGAAATTTTGTGCTTCTGTGAGGAAATGGGCTCTTCAGGAAGTTTCGAAAATGGGGTGAGGAACGGGGCACTGACATTATTGCTGCCCCTGGAGAAAAATGTGACCGTCCTAAGGCTGAACCCGTAGGGCCTCATAAATCCTGCCACGTTTTCAATTCAAGTTTGTTGGAAACTTTTTTCTGTGATTTAAAAATAAAAATCATTTTAAAAAATCACAAGAAGGAGGAGTAGGATAATATAATTCATTCTAAAGGAATGTGTTCATAATCCAGCTTTTTAAAAGGTACTTTCTTTCCAAAATAGAGATACGTAAGATTTAAAATCAAAACAGCATTACCATGGTAAGGAAAGAGAAATGCTTGCTTTGTTCACTATTTAAAACTTCCACGCAGTTAAAAATTTAATTTTGCCTCCTAAATACACCTAAGAAAAGAGGGAAGATTCTAATTACAGCTGCTTATGGCTTATGAGTTAACCAGTGTAAGAATAGCTTAAAAAGAAGCATACATATTTCAAGGGTACATTTTAAGTCGTAGGATTTTTTTTTTTCTTTTTGAATACCTCAACCACGTGTTGCATCCCACAAGCTTTTGGCCTTTCAGGCATTCACCCAGTAATTCTTCTCAGCCCAGGAGCCAGAGACAATATGTGTACACGTAACTGTAGCAACACATGGTAACTGTGTCCCAGGATGGATGGAGTCTGCTTTGGCAACTTAGGAGGGGTGACATAGGGGGATGGAGAAGGCTTTCTTGAAATTGTTAAGGTTTTATTTAATTTATTTAATCTCATTGTCATTCAGGCTCCTCAGTAATGGGCTTAACTTCTCAACCATTCATTTTCTTTAATGGAAAAAAAACCTCATAAATGGATTTTGTTTCCTCCAACTTAGTCTATTAAACGGATATTTTCGTATGGCGTTTTGTATTACCTTATATACAGTATTAGACAATTTTTGAGATAGACATCTACTTTACTACTAAAGTTTTCATATGTCTGACCTAAGGTTACATTAATATCATGGATAGAAAAAGTGCCGGCCATGACTTTCGTTAATTTGCTACAATGCAAACTTACTTCCTTACAGAGACAAAATAAATCAAAACTGAATTTTCTTCTTGGAATACCAAAAGAAAAAACAAGCAGTGTTTCTGAATGCTCAAACACTTTTCGTCATTCTTAGCTCAGCACGTAGCTTTCTCTGATCTTACCATAGGTCACTTCTTCTGCCCTTTTTTCTCTTACGTACCCAGTTCTACCATTTCATTGATTTTCTACAATATTTTGCACATCTCTTTTCTTTGACTTCAACAAGGGGCATATCTCAGTTGTCCCAATAGGTCAGCTTATGTCTTTAACCCTCGCCTCATTTACCCCCATCTGCTTTCAAACTTGGTATTTTCTACAGAGACATTTTAGTTCTAACCAAGGCATGTCGTATTTGATAACTATTTGTCTTCTTCATCTTTGTATCTTTATACAAAAATGCTTCATAGGTGGTTGTATACTTTCCCCATGTTAATCTCTTATTCTAGAAATTTGTCATCTTTTTTATGCAACCATTGTATATCTTTTGAAGACATACTTTATGACAATAAACCCTTCCATTTGTTCCATGTCTACTGTTTATCAGACACTCTACTAAGCACTTTACATTTTTTTTTTTTCTGTGAGGAAGATCAGCTCTGAG